ATGAGGTGATTGACCGAATTTGGGATTTTAAAAGATAACAGATAACGAAAATAAGGCTTTACGTACGTACAAATTTTGACAGACATTTCGGTTTGAACCGTGTGTATCACATTATCATGTGATAGTCGATACAAGGCTATTTGATCTGGTTTTGGTTTGAAACAATACACTTTTATTGTTTATAATTAACTTTCGTGAAGATATTTGTCCAATGGCAGCGATTGGAGGTTTTCTATTTGGAAATGTCGATGAAGAAGGTCATTTAGAAGATTCAGGGCTTGGTGAGGTAAGTCAAAAATTGGGCTTTACGTCAGTATTTTATTTTCGATAGCTTTTAAAACAATGAATTCTTAGGAAATCCGTGAATCTTTGCAAAAAGGCGCCGAAGAAGGTGCTGTATTAAGTCAGATTTTCTCGGTCCGATCATTGGGAATTGAAATTGACGACGCCGCTGCTGAAAGTGAAGCATCTGCACACACACCAACATATGCTCCAGAAGAGTCCAGCACTAAACACGCTGATGGTGCTGTTGACTATTCAGAGTCTATGGAGGTTTACACAGATGATCCAGGCGAGCTGGTGTTTACAGAAACACACTATCAGCAAGGCTTAAACCGCTTAAACCGCGTCAAAGAGATTATGCAAACATCGGGCTTACCGCCTCAGCAAACTTTAAATTTTGAAGAAACAAGTGGCTATAAAATGGAAGATATTCATATGCACGGAATATCAAGTCTGCCTAAAAACGGATTTGAATTTCACGCTAACGCTCAGCATGATATAGAAATACCTGGCTCTCAACCATCCGTTAATGAAATGTTCGACATAAAAACTTTGTACCCTGCGTTCGAAAAGGATAAGATCTTGAAATTTTCAGATTTATTTGCAACTAAAACTAAAAATCGAAAGCTAAACCCTTTAAGCAGACATGGTAGTGTTATAAGTAACGTTTGCTTGTTGAATGTTTGATCATATTATTTACATCAATATTTGAATTCATATAGATGAGACACAGCTACAATTTAATTTTGAAATAGATGATCAAAAACTATTCGAATCATCTCAACAGTTCCTTACTGAAAAACTATGCCTTGATGACAACGTTGAAAACAAAGCTATTATCGATACACCTACTTCACCTATGAGTCAAATATCAGAAAACAATTATGAGATTGATGATGTTGATTTCAAGCTTGATGATGATGTTAGTGTTGGAATATACAATTTTCATATGCACAAGTATACAAGACAAATATAATCTTATGGACTTTTATCCACTTCAATAGAAGCATGTACATGAAGTAGGACAATTATTTTGGAAAGTTCCTGATAATCCCAATACTTATTATTCCGTTACAATGAGTACATGGGAAGATAAGATTTCATGGGATAGTGACGGTGACGAAGGTGGCGACGAATCGGCTAGGTACTGATTACTCGATTCTATATGATTGACTAATAATTAATTAATTACGGTTAATTTATTGAGAAAAATTACTATATGGATTATTATTATTATTATTATTATTATTTTGAATTATCTCATCAAATGTTAATATTTGTATTTAACTTTCTTTAGTTCAAGCGATGACAAAGTACTTAAGGTATTCTTAAGTTTGTTTGATGATTCTAAGTTTGTTTGATGGAAATCAAATAGTGAACGAGACACAATAATTAGTTTAATTATGATAAACAATTAAGCAGTCCAACATGCCTTTCAGTTATCGAAATACCGAGTTCGAAAGTGGAGAGTGGCTTAACTCTATACTATGGGACGATTATAAAGGCTTTGCTCCTTTTGCAAAATTAACGCTAGATATGAATGATCCGAACATGCTTTTCAATTATTCTGCTATTGACTTACCAACAATAACTAATCCTGATTTACAAGGTAAGTCTTTCGTAAAATAAAAGTTAATTTGATTTATATTAAATGTTAGCTTTTATTTTTTACTCGTCTAATAGGTCAATATGACGTTAAAAAAATAAAAAAAAAATCTCCGATGGTGAGAGAAGTCATAGTTTTTTAATAATTAATGTGCTTAATAGTCAACAAATTAATTTATACTTTACTATTTATAGGAGATTGATAAATCATTAAATTTCGATGCATATAAATCTGTTGCTTTTGACGACAGCCCACCTTATGAAGCATCTTTCGATAATGAGCAAATGGAATTTAAAAGACGGCTCAATTCCGGACAAATGTTTGTGCATCATTCTTTGCCCGCTCTCCAATTACACATTCAATATGTAATACATTTTTTATCCTTATATACTCCTGTGTTTGGAAAAAATTTGTTCTGATAAAGCGCACATAATTTTTAGTTTAAAACAAAATTCACAAAGTCCGATATTCGGGCATTGCATCGCCCGGCGATTCAGTTCCCTCTTAACAATGAGGTCCATCTTAGCAGGATAAAGTCACATAAAAAATTGAAAAAGAGAAAACATTATCGAAAACGAGAGGAAATGC